GCCTTGGGGGGCGAGCGGGGGGTTCAATGTCTCCCTACCCCGCGCCCCGCCAGCCGGGGCGCGGGCGGGAGCGCCCGGGGGCGCCGTTATCCCCCTGATAAACCCCCCGTCTCCGAATCTTGGCCGCGAACGAAACGAAAACACCACGTACGACTCTCAGCGGTGGATCACTCGGCTCGTGCGTCGATGAAGGACGCAGCTAGCCGTGAGAACTAATGTGAATTGCAGGACACATTGATCATCGACACTTCGAACGCACCTTGCGGCCCCGGGTCCCTCCCGGGGCCATGCCTGTCTGAGCGCCACCACCCGGCCGGGCGCACTTCCCCCATCGCGGTGCACCGCGACCGGCTCCGGGTTGGCTTGGAAAGGCTCGGGACGACGGTGGCGCGGGTGGCCCGCGCGGGACCGGGGTTTTCCCCCCGCCTCCGGGCAGGGGGGGGCCCTCCCCACGCGTCAGCCCCCGCGCTTTACAGCGCTCCCCCGCCCTTTCCCGCCCCCTACCTCGCCGCTTCCCCCGGGGTCGTGGGACGTACCGCTGTGCCCTCCGTTCACGGCCGCACCGCCAGGGCGGGGACCGGCCCACGTTCGGACGGGCGCCAGGGGTCCGCGGCGATGTCGGCAGCCCACCCGACCCGTCTTGAAACACGGACCAAGGAGTCTAACGTGCGCGCGAGTCAGAGGGCCTGACAAAACCCGACCCGGCGCAATGAAAGTGGGGTGCGCATCTCCGTCGGGTTCGCCTCGGCCGGCGCCTCGCAGCTGGCTTAGAACTGGTGCGGACCAGGGGAATCCGACTGTTTGATTAAAACAAAGCATCGCGAAGGCCCGCGGCGGGTGTTGATGCGATGTGATTTCTGCCCAGTGCTCTGATTGTCAAAGTGAAGAAATTCAACGCGGGTCAACGGCGGGAGTAACTATGACTCTCTTAAGAAAGGTACAAGGTGAAACCAGCGGTAATAACCGTGCCTAAGTTCCTGGGGAATACTGTGCAAAACTGAAGCCTAAAGGAATTGAAGGGTACAAGCGAGCAGGGGCTGAGTCTGCGGCTTAAATTTAATAACACATGTAACGATCCCTCGACCTGGGAGAGGCTCTTGGATTGAAAACTATGTTATAGATCTGAGAAAGTTAACCGATACAGGTCATGTCAAAACCTGTATAAATCAGACCGGTCCACTTTGGTCAAGATGATTCTTGATGGCAAAGAAAGCATGGAGTGTAAAATCCCGATAAATGAGATCTATGATACATTTCGGGAGAAATGGGAGAAAGGCATGGAATTTAGATCCCTGGGCAAATTCAAATCGACAGCGGGATCTAGCAATGACTATCTATGGAGACCCATAACACCTAAAGGGGTCATGAGAAATATGAACAGGATCAAAGACGGGTCGGCTCCGGGCCCCGATGGAACAACCAAAATGTCCCTGAGGAAATGGGATAAGAGTGGGATGATACTGGCAAGAGAATACACCGGATGGTTGTTGCAAGGCGGCATTCCTGATGCGTTCAAGGAATGCAGAACAAGACTTATCCCGAAGTCAACTGAGGAATGGGAACTTAAAGACATTTCGAATTGGAGGCTGTTCACCATTGGTTCTCTGGTTCTTAGGCTTTTCAGTGGAATCCTGACCAGGAGGCTGGCAAAGGTGTGCCCAATGAATCAGAGACAGAGGGGCTTTCTGGAAGGAGCAGATGGCTGTGCTGAAAACCTGATGCTATTGGACAAGATGATCAGAAGAGCGAGAACAGAAAACAAGCCGCTGGTCGTGGCACTGATTGATTTTGCAAAAGCCTTTGACTCTGTGGCTCACAACCACATACTCACGGTGCTAAAACAAAGGGGAATCTATAACCGCACATTTGATGTGGTCAAAGACTCATACAACAACTGCACGACGAGGGTGTGCCGCGGTAAAGCAAAGACCCAGCTGATAAAGATGAAGGTGGGCTTAAAACAAGGTGATCCGATGTCCTTATTGCTATTTAACTTGGCAATGGACCCGCTGATAAACGAACTCGAAAGGAATGGGCGAGGCCTCAAATGGGAAGATGGAACAATAGCATCCCTAGTGTTCGCTGATGACCTAGTATTACTGTGTGGCTCTAAAGATGACATGTCAGCACAACTGAGAACCCTTGAAGACTTCTGCGCCAACACAGGACTGAGAGTCCAACCCAAGAAGAGCTACGGTTTCTTACTGGCTAAGGGACTGGTCAATGCAGAGGGGCCTTGGATGCTTGATGGCCAGCTGATCCAAATGGTGAATCCTGGACAGACGGTCAAATATCTGGGCGTCCAGGTGGGACCGGAGAAAGGAGTTACGGCTCCTGACATTAGCTCAAAATTGGAGCTATGGTTGAAGAACATTAAACAAGCTGACCTCAAACCCTCGCACCGGATCGCGATTCTAAACACCTTCGGCCTCCCGAAGGTGATCTACCAGGCGACACTAGGAAAAGTGCCGATGGGAGGTCTAGCAGCAATGGATCGGATGGTGAGGAAAGTGGTGAAAGGATGGCTTCACCTCAAACAAATGGTGAATAATGGATTGATCTACTCCCGAAACAGAGACGGAGGCCTGGGAGTCATGAAGCTTGAGCGGATGATCCCAGCATTGAGAATGAAGTACATTTGGAAGATGTGTTTTAGCGATGATGATTGGTCAAGGAAAGTGGCGAGGGATGTAATCAGAGGACCAGAATGGAATGCTCTATGGAAGAGTGCAGGAGGAGTGAACGGGGCACCTATCCTCCTGAGTGAATCAACTAATGAGGAAATAGAACCTCAAAAGCTCTCCCTCCCAGACTGGAGGCTTGATGACAATAAAGCTTGGGAGAGGTTAACCACACAAGGAAAAGGAGTGGCGATGTTCAGGAACGATAAGATCAGAAACTCCTGGCTGAAAGAGCCTGAAAAAGCCTCATTCAAACAGAAACACTACCTAACTGGCCTAGCGATAAGGGCGGGAGTCACCCCGGCCAGCGACGGGAGACTTGGTGACACTGGATGGAGAGTGACCAACTGCAGAAAGTGCGGGATGAAGAATTAATCCATGGCCCACATCTTGGGACAATGTGGACATGTGAAGGGATTAATCATCTGTCGGCACAACAAAATATGTGAGAACCTGAAAGAAGAGATGGAAGCACATGGCTGGACGGTGATAAGAGAAATGAGAGTGGAAGACAAAGGAGGACACTTAAAAGTCCCTGACATAGTGGGCATAAAAGATGGAATGGCCTTGATAATTGACGTAACAATAAGATTCGAAACAACTGACTTCCCACTGGAGATGCCGGCGGAAGAAAAAGTGAAAAAGTACAGGCCAATCGGCAAGATAATCAAGAAGATGATGGGCGCCAAAAGTATCAAGATCCGTGGATTTCCCCTGGGAGCGAGAGGGAAATGGCCGACCGGCAACAACCTCGTCCTAAAAGACAGGACTATCTGAACGCAGAAGAAAGACGTTCGCCAAGTTCCTGAGCAGGAGAGTTCTCCTGTATTCTATTGACGTTCTGAACGGGTTCATGAGATAAAAAAAAAAAAAAATACATTCATTCAAGTCAGAAGGCGGGTGCACCAACGTAGGGCTATACAAGCCCATCCTTCCGAATGAAACAATGGCTAACTTGAAAAGTATGAAAATAAATTCGGCACCAGGACCAGACGGAATAACCCGAAAAGCCCTCCTGAAATGGGACCCCAGTTGCATTCACATAGCAAGAGAATTTACAGAATGGTTGATGGAAGGAAGCATCCCACAATACATGAAGGGGTGCCGGACGACCCTGCTGCCCAAGTCCACGAAAGCAGAGGATTTGAAAGATATTGCAAACTGGAGGCCCATCACCATCAGCTCGGTGATTACGAGACTTTTTTCGAGGATTCTCACGATGCGATTGAAGAAAGCATGCCCACTAAACCCAAGACAAAGGGGCTTCATGAATGAGGCGGACGGATGCGCAGAAAATCTGCTTATTCTTGACAGATTGATCAAGAAAGCAAGAGATGAAGGACGAACGTTGGCGATAGTGTTCATTGACTTCGCCAAAGCTTATGACTCAGGATCGCACGAGCACATCCTCAGTGCATTGGAACAAAGAAAAGTCGAGGGACATTGGATTGCTTTGATCAAAAACTCATGTTGATTGCACAACCAAGATAAAATGTGGAATATGGGCAACCGAAGACATTGCAATGAAAGTTGGAGTCAAGCAGGGAGACCCGATGTCCCCCTTACGATTCAATCTCTCTATAGACCCGTTAATCCAATCCCTGGAAATGGCGGGTCACGGAGTTGACTGGGATAACCAGAGGATAGCGACGCTTGCCTTTGCAGATGACTTGGTGCTGCTTGGCGGGTCAGGAGAAGCAATGGTTCAGCAGCTAAGCCTACTGGAATAATTTTGTACACTTACGGGGCTATCAATACAACGAAAGAAATGTCACGGCTTGAGACTTGAGAATGGGTCGGTGCAGATTGACAACCCATGGAAACTATGTGACACAGATATTCACATGTTGGAACAAGAACAAACGGTGAAGTACTTCGGGGTCCAGGTGTGCCCAGGAAGGGGTGTGACGGCAAAGGACTTGGAACCAATGGTGGCAAAATGGCTAGAAAACATTTAAAGAGCGGACCTGAAGCCGTCTCAAAGAATCTGAATATTGGCATCGCATCTGCTATCAAGAATTACGTACCAAGCAGTTTGAGGCATGGTGGGAATAACCAAACTAGCAGCCATTGACAGAATGATACAGAAGAGTTAGGCTTCACCTAGCACAATCTATGAGTAACGGGCTGATATACTCTAGGACGCGAGATGGGGGCCTCGGGGTGATTCGACTGGAAAAAGCGATACCAACAACCAGACTTAAGTACATATGGAAAATGTGCGCGAGTGATGACGGCTGGTCAAGAACAGTGGCAAGAGAAATGGTGAAACACCCGCTATGGGACATATGGTGGAAAGCAGCCGGGGGCCTGCCCAAAAATACTCCGAAACGGAGAGAGGATATGGATGATGAGGTCAACCTACAAACTACAGTGACCCCCCCCAGATTGGAGGACGGAAGAACATAAACTCTGGGCGAACCTCCCATCCCAAGGGATGGGTGTGGAGATGTTTTGGGCCGACAAGATAAGTAACTCCTGGATACGTGAACCTGAGAAATTTGGGTTCAAACAAAAACACTACCTAAGGGGACTGGCTATGAGGTCGGCAATGACTGACCCAAACATGTGTGAAAGCTGAAGGTCGGCGCGAGACAAGATGCATAAGATGTGGAGCCAAGGCGACGTCACTGGCCCACATCATTGGACAATGTGATTATAACAAGAATAACATAATCAGAAGACACAAGATATGCGATGACCTCCAGAAAGAAATGGAGATACACAGCTGGACAGTGATACGAGAATTACGAGTTGAAACGGAGCAAGGAGGGACGAAGGTGCCGGATATGGTGGGCATGGAGCAAGGAGGGACGAAGGTGCCGGATATGGTGGGTGGGTATGAAGAAAGGGCAAGAAAGGGCATGCCCTGATAATAGATGTGACCGTGAGATACGAAAACGAGAAATTTCCACTGGAAATGGCAGTGGAAGAAAAAGTGGCAAAATACAAGGCCATAAGTAACCAAGTGTTACATATGCTGGGTGCAAAGACTATGAATGTATATGGCTTCCCGATTGGAGCGA